CTGGTGGATGAATAGACACTTTTGATTATCTTAAACTTTTCTAGAGGTGGTCAATGTAACCATAAATGACAACATTTCAATCATAATATGGCTGGAACGTAATTTTTAAAAAAAACCGCCTACCATAAGATCATGTTTATTAGCCTAATTGTTTATCTCGATAGTGATTAATGGCTCGTATACATTAAGGGTGATAATAGATCAGCCTTTGACCAAAGTAAGATGTAAAACCAATTTATAAAGTCACAAACTCTTGAAACTACCCTTATTCATGATTAATAATCTTTTAGTTTGGTTAAGGATATCAATAATAATGTATGATTGGAAATCCATGGAGTCGTAGCTGTAAAGCAGTAGAAATATGATGTAATGTACATTTATAATTTTCCTCCCCTACAACTATTGAAAAAATCATGGCTTAATAAAAATTATTTATGATGAATGATTTACTGCTGTCAGTTGTGACGAGAAAATACTTTAACATTCCTTAAAAAAATCAGTGGTATAAAATATAATAATCAATCACCGTCAGTCAGCTACAACGTAGGACTAGGCACATATATTCATCGATCCAAGTTGCCACTCCTCATTAGCGCAACAAAATGAACACTAAATTCATAGAAGTAGTTAATTCAATGATAGTAATATATAAAAGAAAGATTGTGTATAAGGATATAATACAGGAAGAAAGAATTAGTTGGTAGAAAGAAAGATATAAAGCAATTTTAGTCTCACAGTTTAAAGGAAGACAGAAAGTGTACACACCTACTCCATTGTGATCGATTCTGAGCCATGTCCCCTAAAGTCTCCAACTATTGGTTACTAATCAAAAAAAAGAACAAAAATATGGTTGGAAATGTGCTCTATTAATTCTATTACAGGATTAAATTTTACAGAACCGATATAACTTTTTTTTTAAAATCTATCAGTTTGCTTAAGACTATTAAATCATATGAAACAACCAGAATATAGTGCAACTCGTATCTCATGTCGATTCATGGCATACAATTTAAGAGAATAACTTGTTTCTTTATAATATAATTGATATTAAAAATTTCATAATGTAAATTAAAATTGAAAATTGTCCTGTCAGTTGGTTTTCATTTCTTAATTCCATTTATTAGTATTTTTAAAAATCATGTTAAGTAGTTAGTTACTTAGTTAGTGATAATCGTATTAAAGAAACAAAATTATGTGGTTGTGTACGTGTAAATTTGTAGACTTTTCTGAAAATATTAATAAAGGTATGTATTTAACAAAAGGTTCATCAAGAATACATCATTTTGCAGTTGGTCTAATTGTTCACAACATTCGTTTCATATGATACTTACTTACGGGTTGGTGTTTTTTAGCAAGAGTGTTGCTACGGGATGTGGTTATCAACCTCATGCCCAACCCTCCTTTTTTACCCTGGATTGGAACCGTCATTAACTTTAGAAGAGCTATAGACGGAGTTTATGATAAGATAGCTATTTTATTTTATTTTAAAGTTTGCACTTCACAGTGAATGCTGTGATCGAAATATGAAGAATTTAGCATGACTATAATCAACGGAAAAACTTATGAGATATATGATAATGATTTTTTGATTTATCTTTACGGGAAATTTATTCATCTATATGGGTTTATGACATTCTGGCAATAACAACTGATGTTAGTTTGTGATGAAAACCTTATCTTTAATTCGTAACCTCGGTTTCGTGTCCTGATTCCTCACACTATTTATAACCCTATTTTTTACCAATGAAATAGCCTAAGTTTTTGTAGTAACATTGAAAGCATCTAAACGTTGTCAATAAATTATACTTTGATCGACAAAGTGTGAAACGGGAAATATGAGGTATAAACGCGTGTTGTCATGTCTAGGATTCTATATATTTCTAGGTAGCAATTGTTAAACATTTGTTTTACTATACTTTATTTCTATGTCTAGTTGATCATAAACAAACTAGAATCTGGCACATTACATAAGCACAATGAAATGACATTAACAAAACGAATTTCAGAGTAACGGAAGTAGTAGCAGTGTCATTAATGGTATTAAAAAAGCTATATGAAGACAAAATGACGAGATAAGAAAGAATTAACTTATTTAATAAAAAAGAATATGATAATTTTAAAGTTCAGGATTAAAGGGAAGTCAGTAAATGAATGCATCTGTACAACTGGGACAGATTTTGACTTATTTCACCTAAAATTTCAATGTATTGGTTAGAACAAGCATTTGGAAATTCATCAGATTGAAGATACTCAAACATTATGACAAATTGGTTAATTATGGAATTCAAAACTGTACTGCGATCAAGAATGATATCGATATCATTCACATGCAAGAGAATGAATTGATGGCAATTTTTTATGTGTCTTCCTTATTTACTAATGTACCTAAGCAATGGATATCATTAATGATTGTTTAGAATGACACATTTGAATTTACGATCCCCGTTAGATCCTTCCGAGATTATTAAGTGTTTGGAATTGTCTTTATGATACATCGTATTCTTATTTGAGATATTTGCAGACGAAAAGTTGTGACAATCGGTTCATCAGTTTATCTGAGTGCAATGAGTTTATTCATGCATTCCTTAGAAACCAGTGAGATTACAAAATGTGTAAATTCACCCAAAGTTTGGTTGCGTTATGTTGAGAACATTTTGTTATCATTAAACGAAGTGGTTTAGAAGAAATATTTCAAAGTGCAAACAACATAACGGATAGCGTTAAGTTAAAGAAAGAGGTACAGTCCACCAACTACAAAGTAGAGTTTCCCGATAGTTTAGTCGAAAGAATGTATAATATGAAGTGACAAACTATCCTATTCCTCAAATCAACATATTCTGAGATTACGGTTTAGTTCATTCTTGTTGTACAAAGATAACAGCCGTGAAAAATTTAAGTAACAGCAGCAGTAATTTGACTACAAAGAGGAAAGACCAAAAGACTGAAATGAACTTAATATTGTCTATACTTGGGGCAAACAATTAACCTAAATAGTTTTAAAGAAGACTGTTAGACATAGAAGAAAAACTAAATTACAGTGTATCTCGGAAGAATAGAAGAAAAAGGTGATCCAATACTGAAAAGAAATATCAGAAGGAACTAAGGGGATTGTGATCAAACAATAGAATACCGTACTTTTGGACCAGTGATACAATAAGATCGGTGTTAGTGAAAGATAATGATAGGTTTCTAAAGGAACAGCAATAGGATGTTGTCTATGAGACCAGCTGTCAGGATTGTAATGCAGGTTATGTTGAAGAAACATTTAAGCAGTTGAATGTGAGGTTGAAAGAACACAAACGATGTTTGATACATGTTCCCAACTCTCCAGTTAGTCTAAAGAAACTTGAGAATAATTCAGCAGTACCGTTGTGTACTTTATAAAAAGGATACAAGATGAACTTCAAAGGGACCAAAATAATTCAGAAAGTGTTTAGCAAATGCAAAGAAAGATTGATAACTTAAACTTATACACACACACATCCACTCATCTGTTTATTCACACTTTGGTAACTTTTCACGTGATTCACGTATAAATGATTCATATTATCCTACTTGCTAAAGTCAAAATCTGAATACGATTGGATAAACATTTAGTACCAATTTGATTCGGTTGTTAAGCCGTAATTCTTTGATAATTTTGATTTTTATCGGAATGAGTTTTCGTGGATATTGGAGTAATTTTTAATAGTTGAATTCATGAGTCAATTAAAGCTGGACCGCCATGGAAAACCTGTGAGCACTGAACAGCCGTTTCGTCCTAGTACGGGACTCCTCTGAAGGGCGCATCCACGACTCCGCACGCTGAGTCGACCCATGATTGTCTAGATTTAATCGACTCATGAATTCAACTATTAAAAGTTACCACAATATCCACAAAACCCCATTCTGATAATAATCATCATATGCTCACTAGTGACTGGCTTGATGAAGTATTTCTTTGGGTTATAGTGAGAAGCCGCAACCAGTGGAGTTCAACCGTGTCTGTTGTAGAGGCAGTTACTCACTAAAAACAATGGTGGACGGCCGCGCAATATCGTAGACTGGCTGAAGTTAGGCATTAACACCGTTGGATGCCGGCTCAGTGGTCTAGATGTTAAGCGTTAGCGCGTGAGACCGAAGGCCATGGGTCCAAGTCCCACGTGCGGGATCGTGAATGCACACTTTAGAGTAGTCCCACACTAGGACGAAACGGCTGTTCAGTGCTTTCAGGTTTTCCATGGTGGTCTAGCTTTATTCGACTCATGAATTCAACTACTAAAAATTTTGATTTTGATTATTACCCCGAAGTCCAGTCAAGTTTACTGGACGAAACGTTGGAATTGCTTGAACTCCAACCTCTGAGATTATTTCAGCTATAATTTCACAAATAAGTTGGTGCTAGTTGAATAAATGTGGAGAAGTCAATAGAAAGAGGCCGAAATTCACGAACAAAATTCATTTTTTATTTTGACCATTTTATAATGAAACACAACAATTTCATTTCTTTACAATGATGTATTTGGGAAGTTGGAAGAGTATTTGAATTTTTTAGTCATTGGTTCAAACAGATCGAAATAAAACGATACATAGTTATATTACTTGCAACCTCATATACATTTTGCATAATGTTGGGTGACTAGAAGATGTAGACAGCAGACGCCGATCCAGCAAGTTTAGACTCACCGGTAGGGCGTATCTACAACTTTGAGGACCTGATATTCCCTAAGGGCTTCACACCTTGGCCATCAAGCTCTACAGTCTAATATATATAGTATTCCAGTGATCTTTTGCAACAGCAACTACTGTGGTGTGTGCTACTTATATTGGCATAAGTAGTAGATGATGTTAGTCGTGAACAGAATGTCTGGCAGCAGAGAGACAAGAGGATCGAACAGTAAAGAATGGAAACAAAATGCAATTTGTATGAAAATGCAAGAACAATGAAGTCTGAGTCATTATGAGACAATTGATGGACATTTTTGAAATTACGTATTTACTTTATGATTGTAAGATTTTATTAACAAGTCCTGTAATTTTGTGTTTAATACAATCGATTGTCCCCACTGGTGTTGTTGTTCACTACACTACTACCGATGGAGTTTATGATACAAGAATTGTTTCATTGAAGATACCTAAACCGCATAATACCACTCTCAGAAAATCATTTGCAATATGACTAAGACACTTTTGTGACTTTTAAATATAAAAATGTTTAACTGTCAATCATAAAAAGGAACAAAACTTGGATGTTTCGAAGAAAAACTGACAGTTCTGTGCATATAATTTTCAGAAACATTGTCAGGTGCAATTTAAGCTCAAAAAATCTACTCTGAAAAACATCATCATTTTAAAGGTAAAACATGTATCTCTAAACCAAAAGACAGAAAGGCAGTTTTCGCCTCAAACTTAGAATACATAGTGCACCAGGCGGAAGCATACAACAATGGACAGTTATTTCATAGTTTTATGCAAACAACTCTTTCAGCAGAAACTCCAAGAATATTTAGTTATTGTGGTGAATGCATTGTACACAGATTACTGGTTTTGCATGGAAGTCTTCATCTTCAATTTTATTACATCCAACCGTTAATAATGACATTGAATAATCTTAATGCTACAGTGCTGTCGACTAAAGATGATAATACAGACTAATTGATTTTGAATCAAGGGATTAAGCGTAACAAACTGGATGAGAGACTAGAAAGGCAGTGGTTTGATCAGGAGTTGCCAATCCTGTATAATTCCAAACTAGGAGAGAGCAAGTATCCAACACTTCCCTGTTTTCAATAGTACCCCACTCAATATTCATTCACAATGAATGTCACCTTCAAGTTAAACACCAAATCCATTGAACAAAATATCAGATCACTTGATGAATAATGAATTTATTTGGGCTAGATACAAGTTATCTATTAATGTTTTCAATTAAATAAGCATTAAAACAAATAATTTGAAGAATCATATTCTTTTAAAGGTAAAATTTAAGAAAAATTAATTATCCCCGGATATCATCTTCATCATAATAGTATTTGTTATTTTATGTTACGAAAAAAACATCTGTTATCTATCATATTAAATTATTTGTTTTTCTTCAAGTTATCTAGTTATTTAACTATGTACTGGTTATTTCTTCATCTGGTGTTCTCCATATAAGATAAGATACATCACGTACTCGAAATATAAAACACTTATTAGCACTATGTGAATAACTACTCCAAAATGATCCTTTAACTATGACAACATGCCATGCTTTACCGTAAGTGTTATCTAACCATTGTTTCAATTGAACAGCTTGATCTTTCTCATCTAATTTCTTTGAAGATGTTAAGATTTCAATTGCTTTATTACTGATAGCAATTTGTTTATCCAATGGAAGCTGTTCATAGATTACAACAACATCTGGATGAAGTTTCGCAGAAGCTGATTGTTGATGTTGTGTTTTCATGGCTACTCTGTAGACCGAAAAGAAGAGAAAGAGAACAATACAAGATTTATCATTTGTAAAAACATGATGTCACGAGATGACTTAAAAAAAATGTTTTTTAAACTGAGATTAGCTTAAACCTAGGTTTACTAATTTGATAGCACGTGGACGGTAATTGATATTAAGAATAATGAGATATCATAAACTGAACTAATGTTAAAATATACACTCTTGATTCCTATCATATTGGTTGGGTGATATCGTCGTTGAATATTGAATTCCCTATTCAGTGTTGGCAGTGCAAAAATGAAATGTTTATTCATTAGTCTATGACTAGTCATATTCCATAAACTCATGACCGAACACATTTCCAAGATTGTAGACAAGGAACAACTAGGTTTCTAGTCATTTTATTTAGTAAGAAAGAAAATAGTTGAACATGAACACTATCGATTCTTGAATCGTTGATTTTTACATCTGATTTAAAATTATTTTAACAATTCTCATATATTAAAGCATTTAATGTGTATGCTTGATAAATCGTTATTATCTGACTACTTTTTAAAACTATAATGTCACGTAACCACATACATATTATTTAAATGTAACTTTACGTCTTAAGAATTGATACCATTTAAAAGAGAAACTATTTCAAGTCTGACGTTGTAATCAATGAAACTACTGATTACATTTAACTTCGATTACTTACTTACACCCGTTACCCCTATTCGAGCATAGGCCATCGACCAGCATTCTCCAACTCACTCTATCCTGGGATTGAATTTCAATCACAATATTTTATCTTATCATGTTACGCAACCTATCCTTATAATTAATAAATTTTAATATCAGATAGGTTTTGTGGATATTATAGTAATTTCAATGATTAAGATCACGAGTCAGTTGAAACTAGATCACCGTAGAAAATCTGGAAACACTGGACGGCCGTTTGGTCCTATTGTGGGACTTCTCAGCGGTGCGCATCCACGACCTCACCTCCTGCGAGATTCGAACCCATCTGATATTAATCAACATATGCTCACTAGTGACTGGCTTCACGAAGTATATCCTGGAGTTCTAGTGAGAAGTAGTAATAAATTTTAGTTAGATTTTATAACATTTAAATGTCTTAATAACAACACTTTCAAGTTTTTCTATAAAAAAGGGGTATAACATTTTTTGCTCTTCGGTTATTATTTTCAGTAAATTATAGTTAATGAAAGAAAAGATATGGATTGTCGTTATGGTATCAGAATGCATTATGAAATGTACAAAATTCAGAATGAATTTGCCAAAAAGAATTCTTATCGTTTAACTAACATTTTTTTGTTTTATGTCATAATAAATGTTTTCAATTTAGCCCAAATTTCTATAGTGATTTACGTAAATTTAGCTTACCTACCTTATTATGAGAAAATATCGAAATAAGTGGTCATCAGATATTAAGCATTTGCTATAGTACAACATGTCTACAATTGAAAAAAGTCAAACGATCCTCAATAGCTCAAAAGATTAGTCTACATTATATCATAATTCACTAGATGTTGCATTATTAATTTTGGTATACAGAATAAAGGACAGTACTTTACATATCGAAGAATTATTATGTTAACATACTATTTAGATTTATATGGTTAGCGTCCGAATATTGACAACTTTCATTATTGATTTTACTTATTTAATTTATAATATCTTATTTCTATCCTAGTAATCATATGTACTTAGATTATAAGCATTGTTTTAAATGAACCTATTTCAAAAACCCAGATAAACCTAATCAACGATTATACACTGATTTGCTATTACTCAATCATTATTGTTGTACTTGTCTAATTCTCAATACTTTTGGAATTCTGTCGATCAATTTGTGATAATCTTATTAATTTACATGGCTCAACTTCGCACATACGAAGTTTTTTTATTTCAAATATTTTCACACAATCTTGATGAATCTCAACCACATTGCAATTTAGACATGAATTTAGTTCCTAGTCATTGATCAATAAATGTATTTATTACCCGTACTGTGAGCTCCTAAAAGATTGAAGATACATCTTGTTAATGATGGAAAATATTTAAAAAATTTCGAAATATCTAAAGCAATTAGTATTGTGTTTTACTGTTAATGAGTACTAAACAAGAAAAATAAATTGATTGCCTCTACGGATTAATTATATAACTTACGCTTGTGCAGGACTTAAACCCAATACTTCACAAAAAGTACTAAACGTTATCTTCCCAGTATTTTTGGCATCAAATAATGATTTCCATTTCTAAAAGATAGCAAAGCATCGAATATAAAGGTAACATGAAATACATTTGAAAAATATTTTAGTTTAGACCTGAGAAACTGTTTACTATAAATGAAAACAATTAACTAATGCATTATAATATACATATACAAATTATCAACCAAACACAATGAATGTTTATTATATCATTAAATTTTTGAATAGGAGTTAATCTTCTATTTTATCAAACTGACTTCATCAAGTCTTTTAGTACAAGTTGAAAATAATTTCTTTTGTAAACTGATTTTAATTGAAGATTTATTAAAACAGAAGTACCAAGTACTACATCAGTAGTTGCGTCCTAATCCAAAAGTATAAAATGATGGTACCCATCAAATTCGTTGTGTGATAATTATGCCAGTGACGAAATTAGACGAAGATCACAGTATGTCATCAACTAAATTAAAGTAGATCCACAAATTCAACTGTTTTATACTGTGATAAATGAAATAATCATCTTTAGTTAAAAAGTGTTAATCATGTCCTAGTTATGACATATTCTTAGTGTATGGTAATAGTGATTAAAGATAATTATTTTCTCACGAAATTTATGACTATGGTTTGTATTAAGAACGTATTATATCACATCTGATATTATGCATTTCACTTGAATCTTTTGCTCTGTGACCAATAAACACTTACAGTAACTAATAGATTACATTTTTTTTTCAAATAATATACCCAAACCTTATTGAGTGTTACCTACACTTTATAGCAAACTGATCATATCTGTATACCAAGGTCCAAACATATATATATACAATATAATAAAAACTATACGATTTTAACTAGTCTTGAAAATATCACAATGGTATTCATATAGCAAATAATTACTTAACACGAAACATTTGTTTTGCCCTTTCTTTCGATCTGACATCTATTTTATCTAAATAAAATCAACGACTTCATTTTTGACAAAAACATTTACCAACATACTGTATTAGAAACATCTTTTATCTAGAAAAACAAATCTTAAGAGTTGAGTTGAATTTTCAATGTCATAATTTTATATATGACAAGCACAAACTAAAAAGTAGATAAGTATGAATCCAACCTTAACCCTACTCTACCCCTCCCCCCCCCGAAAAATGTAGATAATACTAAGAATTGGAACAAATTATCTTTTTCTATCTACGTTTTTTATATTGTTACTTTCAATTTTAATAGAAAAAGACTAAAGAGAATGCAAATGGATTAGTTAATCATGATTAGAATAGCAATTCACAATTCTTATTAAAAGTCTCATATAAGAAAGAATGATTGTTCAATAAAATACGTATTAATACAAAAAGTATGTATAAAATACTCAATTGTATTAAATATATTTTTGTAATTTTCTGAAGAGTAATTCAACAACGCACTAGAAACTATAATAAAGTTCAGTAACAGAGTTGCAAATAATCGGGATAAAAATCGTGACATACATTTTAATCCAGTTAAAAATCGTCATTAATGTATATTTGTAATATTTAACAATGTGATATGCATTACATTACTGAAACCCTGTCATACAGTATCACATGGAGTAATATTATTAGTGACTTGATCATTTTAAGACTGACAATTTGTAGGACTGCATAATGGTTACCGATTAGAACCAGAAAACATAACATTGTTGTTGCTAAGCTATTAAGTAATGTAAATAGTAACTTTCTATGACATTGTAATTATTACTGTAATAAATATTGAAATATTGGCCAAACATGCTGAAATAATTCTGAAAAATATGAATCACTATGTTTCTACTAAAAATAAATTTCATACCATAATTGTATCCTGAAGAAACTGTATTATTAATTACATTTACATCTAGTTTGTAGACAGTTCCACTGTTAATATTTATTGTTACGTTTTATGGATTTGATTATTCAAACGATTAACGAGGTCATTTCGTTTCAGAGTTGAATAAAAACATATTGCATATATAGCTTAATTTCATAAGAGAATGGTTCAAATGAAATCGAGTTTCATTAAAGGATCGATAATCAATGTCATAAGCAAGTTGTTATCAGGACTCAATAGCTAAGTGGACAATTCGATGGCATTTGAATCGAACAGTACTGATTAGAGTCTCAGAGTGAACATCAACTCTGGGATGCAGGTACATCGAAATGACGAGTCTCAAATAGGATAAAACATGCATCCTGGATTCCACTGCTAGCCACTATCCATCTTTGCTTATAATGCTTGTGAATTAAGGCAATATTGAGGTAATACTCACAGTATGCACATATACTAATAACAGACTGATCAATTGAAGTCTTAAATATCAATGGAGAGATTTAAGTAAACAATACCAAGTGAATCTAATTTCGAATAATATTTACTATCCATTATATGTGTGGCATATATATATGTCTGTAATTATTCTAAATCCTAGTGTTTTTTATCATATAAAGATGAAAATTGTTGTATTGTTAAAATACATAAGTAGACGTAGTCAATCTATCAATCATTCATATAATGAAAAACTAATATAAACAAAAAACGTACTCTCAATACTGATCACATGGTTTTGACAAATGATGGATAAAAACCTACTTTTATTGTGAATAAGACTATAAAGATTATATAAATATATATATATATATATATATATATATATATATATATATATATATATATATATATATATATATATATATATATATATATATATATATATATATATATATATATATAAGACAAAAAGATGAGCAATAGAATGTGTCATATAAATCTATCTACCTATAAGATCTAACAAAATTTAGTCAAATTATAAGTTGAGAGTTGACATAATGTTCAAAGTTCTACTAATATTTCTTTTATATAATCTAAATTGAAATGAACACGTATTTTTCTTAATAGGAACTTAATATACAATTTCAATACTTCCTTATATTAAATTAAATCAATCTCTTTTGTTTGTTACTAAATAGAATGAATTTAGCAAGTATCCCAGAATATTCAGTATCCATAGAGGTTTCGCTTTTTGTTTCTTTCTTTTTAGCCTTAAACAATAATTGAATAATAGAAAACTTTTATAGTGTTTCAAAAACTTTTGCATAAATATGTAATAAATTATTGATAAACTTACTGTAACCATCATTTCATCAAGATTATTATCAGCAACATACTTTTTCAATTCATCTATTGTGATAGTTTCAGTTCCATCTTTGTCAATAGCAAAGAATACTTGTACAAATGGTTCCATTTTATGCCTATTTAAACTCTTTGAAAGTAAAAATTGAGCAAAGAACGAAATATTTTTATCTTTATTAACTAAACAGTTAAAAATAAAACAATAATTTAAATATAAGACATTTAATATTTATATATATGTTAATGAAAAATGAGATTTTCATGGAGTTTTGTTCTGTGAGCTGGATGGTTTAGTTGTGGAGGTTTCATCGTTCTTCTGAACGATATCATCAGCACAAACTTCAGGTAGAAGTGAAGTTTTCGAATTTCTCCATATGTGGTTCACAACTTGTCCTGTACACCTCGATATCAACAAGAACTAATCAACATCGATGTGTACACGACAAGCTGTGAACCATATTTGGAGAAATCCTAACACGTCACATCTGCCTGAAGTTTGCGCTGATGATGTCGTTCAGAAGAACGACGAAAGGTTCACGACTAAACCATTCAGCTCAGAGAACAAAACTCTATCAAAATCATCCACCTGAGCTACAAATCTTCTCGACCATCTCAAAAACAATGAGAAAATCAAGTTTGTTACAAAAGTGTTAAGTATTACCTTTAATGAATAATAATGATGAGTACACTGATAATTTAATGTCTTATATTGACATGAATTTCAATGCTTTTAATAGTAAAATGTAAATGAAAGTGTACTATAGGAATAAATGAAATACATTTTATAAAACCAATCAACAAACAATACGCGCACACACGCACACAAACATACGTATCTAAATTTCTATAATTATATGGATGGTATGCATATATCATGTATATTAGTACAGTTAGTTAAAGGGATCCCAACTATAAAAGTATATCGCTTTACTGGAAAATAATAAATTATTAATGATAAGAAAATGATAATCGAAGAATTTATTGAGAAGAGGCCATAGAGACTAATCAACCAATCAAATTAATTTATCATGATTTCACTATACTATAATTTTCTTTATTTTTTTTTGTGTATAATAACTACGCACATATACATTCACCATAAAAATACACAAATATACCTGTTCTTCTATACACAGCACATCACTTATCAACTAAGTAAGTGATCTAGAAAAAAGATTACAATCTTAGTTTATCTCAATTATGATATTTTCAAACTTAATCAAAATTGTAATAAATGTAATCATTATTATGAATAAGAATAATAATAATTCTTATACTAATGAAGATGTCATCTTGTTGTAAAAATGTAAAATAATTGTTATATAATTCTTTTGAAGTATCATCGTCATCATCTCTATTTGGTGATCAATGTTTCAACTGAAAAAGGATAGAATGATTCAATAATTTGTTTCATTAATAGTACTAGATTAAGAACATCATTAAAGAGTAACATTTTACATTTTCTAAAAAATAAATTAACTTGGATTTCAAGTTAGTAAATAACAGCTAATACTTTGTGATATCCCGTTATTATAGTCTCAAAACGTTTATCGTTTATCCTGATAAATGGATACTACTTAATTACATCAAATTCCACCCCCCCCATCTGTGAAATGAGTAACCCTGACTGTTTGAGAAAATTATTGGAATGAGTTTTCCAAACAAAACATAAATGCAATACAGCCTGAATTCGGGCACAGCAATTACTCGTCATATTAATGTTCGATCAACCTGAATAGCGAAAATCATAAGACTAGACTATGAAGAAGGTTTTACTATCAAAGGCTGAATGATAAGTTTCTTCTCATGAGCATTTGTACATAGATCGACTGACATTGTTAGGGATTGGTGAGCACTTACCTTGGTTAGATTATTATTCCACGTGAATGATATAGCTAAGCCAAACTTGGATTTGACTTAGTATACTTCGTATGACATTTTGCTAAGAATTCAGCTAAAAAATCGAGATTTCTCTACCATAATCCATTGGAATTCCTGTTATTTTTTAAGACAGACATTGTTTACATTCACTGGTCACTGCTTTTCACAAAAATTGAGAGTTTCCTCTTGAATTTATTCACTATAAGCACACGGTTATTAGCAAACGATGTATTTAGAGATTGTTTAATACGTGAATTACCTTATAGACTAAATCTAGCCCGATAACACCTGAAAACCTCAGTGTACTGGACAACTGTTTTGACCTTATATAGGTGAATGATAGGTACCACTAGTGACGATAAATGGCGGTCAACAGTGCCAACATCTAACCAAAGTTAAAAAAATTAATCATTGTAATCAAACCTAGTGATCTAAAGTTTAGGTAGTTGCTGAAATCTCTGAATGTGTTCGATACTTGATAGGTCTATGAAACATCGCCCTCAAATGTTCCGGCACGGTCGAGAGAGTCCACCCTCCCTCTCAAAATGTTCTCACATAGACACGCGTATACAGCCACTGCCAGGAAAGTCCTGTTCACTACTTTCTCGCGGCTAGATTATTGTTCATGAAATTAAGAAGACCAAAACCGAATATTCAGGGCTTAAACCAGGTTAATGGGTACGAAGGATTCACTTAGGAGATTCGGAAAACCCTGATGTACAAAGACGTTAGGATCCTGAGGAAACAAAAAGCGTATGAACCTACTGTTGGTCACTGACAACCACTGAACTGCATCTTCTAACGTTGTTACAATACTTTGCGGATTAGACCTCTAGGTCAAAGCCTCGAGGGGTGGCAACCTAAGAAAACTACCCGCTTACGTTTCAGCACTCAGGTAGTATCCTAGATCACACACAAAACGAATGATGAATACAACTGGCAGAAATTAGTTTCGCATTCAAATGAACCGCATTTACAATCACATGTTTTTATTTTTTTATATCCATACTAAGGACTCTGGTGATGTACTAGAAAATCGCTCTTCATCAGTTGCTTTTAAAAGCCTGTTTCGCGTGAGTTATTCTTACAGTTTAACTGGCCCGCTGCCCCTACGACATCGATCACACTGTCCTACTCTCCGTGGCCTATGACGACTGAACTATCTAGTGAGATGGAGGTCCACCAGGAACTTCAATTACTGACGAAGATTGATATACTTATCAACCGACTTAATACACTGACCTAGCGAACTATACTTAATTTCAACGTAAACGATTGAACAATCTAGTGTTTTAGGTCCCTACCTATTTAGTTGAACAATTTTCGTCTTATACACTTAACTTACGCCTGTTATCCTTCGTGAAAGACTATAGGCCACCAATCACGGTTCTCCGACGAACTCTATCATGGGCAATCCTTCCCAGTTGCTGTTTATTATTTTCATGTCTCCTTCCAGTTCGCGATACAGTATGTTTCTTGGTCTTCCTCCTTTACGTTCCCCCTTCAGGATTCCAAGCTAGAGCTTGCCTCGCGATGTCGATTGGTGATTTCAACAATATATATCCTATGCACTAACAACGTATTTTCCTAATTCCCTCTTCTGTTGGAATCTGGTTTGTTCTCTCGAACAGTAGGCTGTTACTAGTGGTATCTGAAGAACTGACGTATAGTATCTTGCGTAGACAATTGTGTTATAACTTGCGACTGAAGATTAGACGGCAACGAATTATCGATCGGACCAAGGACGCGTAAACACGTGCGAGCGACCTAGAGTCTGATTAGCCGTGCTTCCTTGTCTAGCTCAGCCAGTTTAGTCCAGAACGCAAGTCCCAGCCTCTGAGATATGAATCGTTATACTTCAAACATACTCTGTTTATATACCAGTCAAGCAGACCACATCGTACCATAAAATAGAAAATAACATTTGTACAATATTTGGCCAACAGGAAAATGACACGTGAAATAAATATTGACAAGTAGGAAAAATGATAACATCTCAAGTCCAATGATAGCGTTAGACTTAACAGAATAATTTTTGGGATATTTTCCTGAATATCCTAACAAATTGTTGATAAATAGTTGTAAATTTTTGATGATGTTTGTAGTAGTTATTCACGTTTCATCTACGTAAAGTAGAACTGTCTTGATGTTCGTATTGAAGATTCTGACTTTAATGTTGGTTGACAGACAGTTGTTTTGTATTCCATATGTTCTTCAATTGTAGGAATGCTGTATTAACTTTATCAATACTTACCTTCACATGTGCATCAGATCCTCGTATTTCATCAATGATACTCATCAAGTATGTGAAGTTTTCCATCTCTTCCAGTGTTAATGTTATAAAATCTACAAATGAATCATTTGTACATCGCATCGATTCATTTACTTTTTCATTTTTAATTATTATGAAAAATACTTTACATACCATTTTCATTTAATAAGAATATAAAAGACATAATTAATTTAATAGATCATAATCATATGCTTCATTTCGAATCATTATTAATTTTCATTGCTTATAATAAGATTTTATAGAAAATTTTCTCTTTGAAGTGAATAATCATTTCTATGATTAAGTAACAATTTTTCTTCTTTTTAAAAATATTCACAATTATTTGGCACACATATTACTCAAAATTGAATAAACCTATAAACAATTACTTTCTTATAGTTACAATTCATATGGAATGTAATAAATGAAAAAATGATTGATTCACTGTCAATGGATCAAGTTAATTATCATTTATCATAGTCTCTCTCTCTCTCTTTCTCTCTCTGTTTCAATGGTCATTTTCGAAATAAGTAGAATAGAATATTAGAAAATACATGTAAGTAATATCATTGTATTAAACATTATCATATATGAAATATTAAAAGAGAATACTTTCTTATAAAGTATATAGTAATAATAAAATACACAGAATATATGGTCTCAACATTTATTCATAATTCACTATTATTATTATTATTATTATTATTATTATTATTATTGTTATTCTCTTTCTATGGGTAATTGCAGTTTAAGTTTAAGAATTAGCGCCAGTTATTCATTTTTAAAAAAATATACTATTAGTGTATTTAAACAATTTAAAATAATATACTATTTCATTTATATTCTAAACATAAGTTCATGAATATTGTAGAATTGTAGATAAATATTAGAGTAGTATAAATGATCTATAAATTTCGATAGGAAAAATAAAACACAATAATTCATTATTATTTGAATGAAAATAATTCTTATCATGAATTGATATCTAGCTGAAGGATCAATTAAAAGCCAGAGATAAGTGAAGTATTATTTCATTAAAGTTTAAAAGTCTTATATATTACTCAACATTAATTGAATAACAGATTTGACCTAAATTATTCAAGTCATAAGATAGAGAATAATAATAATAACAGTCATTGTTGGACAATGAATAGCTGTATAGCTCAGATTGGTGATGATCTTGGTGAGCGATCTTAGTACCATTTGAAAATCTCTGTAAACCATCTATACTAGTAAAAACATAATTAACAAGCAGAATTATTGTACGATATAATGTAAAAACATCATTATTCCCAATGAATTATTTTATTCATATACATTTAATAGACATATTTATCAGTTAGTTACATTTATAACGGAATCAATAATTAATAAAGTGTATCATAAACATGCTATTTTCCATAGGATTGCCTAATTAATATCAGAAGAGTTTTCCTTGGATATTATAGTAATTTTTAATAGTTGAGATCATGAGTCAATTAAAGCTAGACCACTATGGAAAACCTGGAAGCACTAGACGGCCGTTTTGTTCTATTGTGGGATTCCTCGGCAATACCCATCCACGATCCCGCCACGCGACATTCGAACCCAGGACCTATAAGGGTCTAATTAATTGAGTATTTTTAATTGCATCAAGAAATACGAAGCCTGAGATAAGAATTTATGTTTTCTTACCTAAATAAACTTTCAAACAATAATAATGAGCTTGACGGATCTGTGCGAAAATTAATCGAATTTGTATGCGGTATTTCTTTGTATCAAACCGTACGATACACAGGATTTATGATAACAAGTGTATTGATATGTCGGTTCAATTCCTATCACCAATTACCAAAAAATCAACTAACTGTTGGAGTGATCCAGAAAATTTCTTGCAAAAGACGAGCAAGAATCAGGAAACTTTGTCATCGATGACATTCTGGAAACAGCTCTGATGGATGTAAGTAATGGTGGTGTGGATCTGTTGCCTGGAGAAAGACTCCTCGACCTTGAGTATGCGGATGATATTGTCTTACTGTGCGATAATGCCAAAGGCATGCAATCCGCACTTAATCAGTTGGCAATCAGTGTCCGTAGGTATGGGTATGTGCTTTGCACCATCGAAGTGCAGGGTACTTCTACAGGACTGGCAGGATTCTAATCCTGTACTCACCCCGGATGGTGAGCAGATAAAAGTAGTCGACAAGTTCGTGTATCTGGGTAGCTGCATAAGTGCTGGTGGTGGTGTGAGTGATGAGATCAATGCACGAATAGTGAAAGCCAGAGCGACTTATGACAATCTGGGCCATCTTTGGCGCCTTCGTGATGTTAGTCTGGCTGTAAAAGGTCGGATCTACAACGCGTCGGTGAGAGCAGTTTTGCTCTATGCTTGTGAAACCTGGCCTCTCCGAGTTGAAGACGTTAGACTACTCTCTGTGTTCGATAATCGCTGTCTCCGAAGGATTGCTGACATCCAGTGGCAACACCATGTTAGTAATGCAGAGGTTCGGCATCGTGTGTTCGGGCACAGAGACGATAATGCAATTGGTGTCACCATCTTGAAACACCGACTTCGGTGGCTTGGATATGTTCTACGAATGTCGTCCCAGAGAATTCCACGTCGTGCATTATTTGCCGACTTTGGGACTGGTTGGAAGAAGCGGAGATGTGGTCAGTACATGACATGGTGTCGTGGTATGAAAGAAAGTTGCAAAGGACTGGCTTCTGTCGGTCCTTCACGACTACCTGGTTGGGGTCCCAGATATAGTGCGACAGTGGCTAGAGACGTTATCAGATATGGCTCAGAATAGAAGCCAGTGGCGATCCTGCTGTAACCTTTTACTTTTTTCATAAAAAAAGTGGTTGTGTCTCCCTTAACTGAAAGATTTCTTCTGATTGTACCTTTCCGTCCCCTCATTATTACTATGATTATTACTACACTACCTTACACCAATCTCCTCGTTGTTGTTCTCTCTTTTTTGCGCTCCTTAGTTTTTTTTTCTATTTCTCTTCGAATTCTCATTGTTTTGCGTGGTGCATATATATTTGGTGCCCTCTTGTACCAATATTTATGTGTACAAATAAATAAAGAAAGAAGCGTTTCATCCAATCAGCATTCACTTGAAGTTTTAGCCAAAAATATCAAGGAAGTGTAACGTCACATGTAGAGGTTCTGATTGGCTGATCGCTATACTGCTACTATGTTAAGTAGCATTCCAGAATCTTCGAGCAGCCCAAGGACATTTAAAAATATTATAATAACCATATATTTTCTGTGTTAAAATGAACCTTGGAGTAAATTACTTCTCGCATACTTTGCGTCTTCTCTCTCGTTGTTCAGGTCACTGTATAGTTCTAGCTTGGGGGTTACAGAATAGCTTAGGAAACGAATATAGCATACAATTTTCAAGACTTATCACCAACTACATGAAGTTAAATGATCTTTAAAAAAATTATTTCTTACTAACGGATAGCCCCCCCCCCCGAGTAAAAATGTGAAAATACTATCATCTAGTGACTGTTTTTATACTGTTTATTAAATAAACACATTTATTTTATAACAGTAATATACGTGAATGTCTCAAATAATACACAATTCTTCAAGGAGTGTCTACATTACAAAATAAAGTATTACCAGTAAACAAATAAATAAATAAATAACCACTGCATAAACATAAATAAAAACATACTAACAAAATAAACAAAATCAAAGTCTTTTTTTGGTGATACGGATGATAAATGAATAAGGTTAGAGTCAGTAAATGGGAAGTGAAATAGTACTGTGAAAGGAAACCGAAATCATGCATCATGCTAATGATCTACTTCATCATAATTATTTATTTCGTTTTGTCGGCATTATAAAAACAATAGATTATAAATTTTCTTCCTTGTCAAACTATTCTATTTATTCATGCCATTATTATTAGAATGACTGTAGTGTGATACATTGATTTCGAAAATCAATTTTTTTGGTTATATATAAATATATACTCTCAGGTTATAATTCAGTTCTATCCACTTAAACATGCAATGATCCAACATTGCATACTGACTGATAGATTATCATCATTAGAACATATTGAAATATGATGGAACACTTGGATCTGATAAGAATCTATTTTATCACTTGTAATCTTGTGAAAGAAAGAAAAAAAATTATTAAAGAGAAACTATATTAGTTGTTGTCACCGTCATCATTATTATCATTAACTGTCCACTATTTGTAAATTTTTTTTTACGTTGATGTAAAAATAAACGAGTAGAATATAAAAATGACAACGAGACAATGTAGAATAATTAAATATTTGTTGGTTCATTCGTTTTCATCACAAAGAAAAAACTTTTAAAAAAAAATGAATAAAGATAATTAATTTAAATAAAAACCAATTTCTTTTGTTGCTTGCAATAAACGTGTACGTAATTCTTTCTCTGATTGATATTCTGGTAATTTTAAATAATGTACACATGTATTCACACTAGGATATGGTCCACTATT